GAGGGACGGCGGCAAGCAGCCTGACGGGCTTCTGCCGGGGGTGCGGCCCGCGGAAAGGGAGCCTAGGCTCTGTCCCTGCCCCCCTGCGAGGAGGGCAGAGCTGCCGCTCGCTGCCTCGGCTTTTGGGGCCCTCCGTCGGGCGGCGAGCGGACGCTAGTGCGGCCGGGGAGCCGCGAGGGGCCCGCTCCTCCTCACGGCCGTGCATCCCTGGCCCCTTCCCCCAGGTGCGAGGCCCAAGCAAAATGTTTTGGCATGCCATGTTTTGGCGTGCGGGTCGCCTACCCGCCATAGGTCTGTGTTGGCAGCTTTCCTGCCAGGAAGGAGGCTCTAGCCTGGGGACTGTGGGGCTGCATTTCTGTCCTGTCTTCCAGGAGGGCAGCATCCACCGGCTCCTTCGAGGGCCTGCGGGCACTGCGCTTTGCTGGGTGTCCCCTCTTGGTGCACTTGTTTTAAACCTCAGACCTCACTCCCATCCCTGGTCTGTAGTTGTCCCCAGAAATCAGTTGTTGGGCACCTCTGAGGGAGACAATCTGTGGTATGGGTGCCACCAGTGGTATGCAGACAACCTGTCAGTGGTATGTGTTAACCAATTTATTGTAATTATATGACAAACATTTGCTGGTGGTACTTGAGGTTGAAGTGGAATTTGCTGGTGGTGCTTCAGGTTGTATTGTTTTAAGCTGCTGGTATGCCATCTGTCAGTTTGGGAACCACTGGTCTACCTAGTGGTCTACCTCCCTTTTAAGGGAGGCTTATAGTGTTTCCTAGCTGGCATGGGCCCATGTTCCCTGGGCAACAAATAGGTCTGTCACCTGGGGCAGAGAGTGGATGCTGAAAGGGACAGTGAACAGGGCATGACCAGGGCTTGCTTTCCTCCTGTTCCTCCTGCTTGCAGCTTCCAGCACTTAAGAACTATGAAGTTCTGATATGGAGGCTGTGCCCCTAACTCCCTTGCTCAATAACTACTGATGCCCCTCCAAGAATTTGCCCAGTGCCTTTTTAAATGTAGCTCAACCAGCAGCTTCCACAACATCTGAGGGCAATGAGTTCCACACTTCAATTACTTACTGTGCGAAAAAGCTTCCTTTTTGTTGAGCACTTCCTTCCTGTTTCCCCACTAATGGTAGAGGTCTAGGAAATTGGCTGGTATAGTATATTGGTTGGTTTTCAAAGAGAATGACCTCCTGCTGCTGTTGGTTACTCCATTAGCTCATGGACAGTCTGCACTGGAACTAAAGGGTCTCAGTCTGTTGATGATCCATATGAGGACTGGGGTAAAAAGGAGAAATCTATTTAAAATGTTAATGCAACTTTAAAGCTGTAGTTTAAGGGTTCAGAACTCGGGAATGCCAGAACTAAGCATGCATGTAAAACCTTATTTTGGTGGTCTTGCACATATGCTATGTGATGCAGGTCTTTTTTTGTTTTTTAAATGGTCACTTTTTTTTTCTTCCCCAGAAGATCTCCACTTCATTCAGTGCACAAAGAATGGACATTGCTTAGGAAATCAGTTTTATGTTGTGAATAACGTTCCTGTTGCTGGAACCCTGCCATTGAAACCGAAAGGTTGTAGAATATGTAATATGTTATCTAGTAAATTAGAGGCCTTGTGATTTAAGAGTTGAATTGGGTTTCACCACAGTTTCTACAGGGTGAGTAACTTCAGAGTCCATAGGTGATCACTAATTGTATGTACCTCAATTTGCAGGTACTGAAGTTGAGACATCTGGGACAAGCTTTGTCCCCGAGTGTTAAAAATGCCACTTTAAATTAATTGGAGCTGTTTTGCACATGTAAGTGGCATCTTACTGCAGTGAAGTCTGGTTTAATGACAATTTCAATACAATAGAAGTGTTTCCGTGTCTCAGCCACTGGCCCATAACAAATAATGCCAAATAAATCTCCATGGAATAGAAACCATTACTACAAAAAGATTCCTCTATTTCAGACTACCTTGTACAGCCTTTGCCTATTCAAGTGGAATCTTTAAAAAATGTATTCTCTTCCCTTTGCCCCCTCATCCCACCTTATGCTGATTTGCTTTGGACCTACCTGAATATGAATTTTCTCTCCTTGCTTGGTCTATAACTACCCCCCCAGGTGCTACTCATGGTGACACTGACAGTCTAATACACACTTAAGTTTACCCTTCCCACTACCACTTTCTACTTTTCTTGTCTTATCAATTTTTCACTTAAGACTTCAATACAGACAAGTGCAAGGTACTGCATCTAGGGAGAAGGAACCAGCAACATGCCTATAGGCTAGGGAATACTGTTCTTGTCAACATGGTGGCAGAAAGAGATCTTGGAGTTATTGTTACTCCAGAATGAACATGAGCTGCCAATGTGAGGAAGCAGTCAGTAAGGCTAACCGCACCTTGTCGTGCATCTACAGCTGCCTCTGAAGCAGGTTCAGGGAGGTGATCCTTCCCCTCTATGTGGCATTGGTCAGGCCACAGTTGGAGTACTGTGTCCAGTTCTGGGTGCTGCACTTCAAGAGGGATGTGGCTAGCATTGAGCGGGTCCAGAGGAGGGCCACTCGCATGGTCAAGGGGCAGCAGGGCAGGCTGTATGAAGAGAGGCTAAAGGGCTTGAACCTATTCAGCCTCCACAAGAGAAGGCTGAGAGGGGATCTGGTGGCTGTCTATAAACTCACTAGGGGGGACCAGTGGGAATTGGGGGCAGCTCTGTTCCCCCAGGCACCACCCAGGGTTACTAGGAATAATGGCCACAAAGTGTTAGAAGGTTCAGGCTGGACCTTGGGAGACATTACTTTACAGTTAGGGCTGCCAGGCTCTCGAATGGACTCCCAAGTGAGGTGGTGCTCTCTCCTACCTTGGGAGTCTTCAAGAGGAGGCTGGACAGATATTTGGCTGGGGTGATATGATCCCGGCACCCGTTCCTGCCTGGGGCAGGGTGTCAGACCTGATGATCTGTTTAGGTCCCTTCTGACCCTAAGTACTATGATACTATGACTTAAAGAGGGATGGAAAGAGCATGTTAAGAGGGGACTTACCTGCCCTGGTGTATTTGCAGTATTACGGAATGGAACTAAGTAGTTTTAGTTCAGGTTTTGCTTGCCACAGGGTAATTGTGGACACACAGTTGCATTGGATCAGCTGAATTAGTCTCTTTCCCCTGTTAACTTGCTGTAATTTGTTCCTTTTGTGCATGTTTCTTGTGTATTTGGGGAGGAGAGTGTGGAAACAGTGTAATTGCCCAGATGCTTGGTTAAACAGGCCTTCAAATGCAGTATTTTATTCAAGAGAAAATGTAAATTACTCATCTTGATTTCTCATTGTTCCATCAACAGCTGCAACACAACTTGTGTATAATGTATGTAAGGGGAAATTGGGGAAAGTGGGTCCCTTACTGAACGGGGGAGGCAACCTAGTGACAGGTGATGGAGAAAAGGCTGAAGTACTCAATGCCTTTTTCACTTCAGTCTTCACTGGCAAGGTCAGCTCCTAGACAGCTGCATCTGGAAGCAGTTTGGGGATGTGGTAAGCAGCCAACAGTGGCGAAAGAACAGGTTAGGTATTATTTTGGAAAGCTGGATGTATACAGATCCATGGTACTGGATGTGATGCACCCAAAGGTGCTGCTGAGGGATTTGGTAGATGTGATTGTAGAGCTACTAGTTACCATCTTTGAAAACATGTGGGGGTTGGGAAAGGTCCCAGAAGATTGGAAAAGGGCAAACATAATGCCTACTTTTTAAGAAAAGGAAGGAGGAAGATCCAGGGAACTGCAGATCAATTTGCCTCACCTCAGTCTCTGGAAAATCATGGAGCAGGTCCTCAAGGAATTCATCTCTAAACACTTGGAGAAGAAGAAAGTAATTGGGAGCAGTCAGCATGGATTCGATAAGGGCAAGTCATGCCTGACTAACCTGATTGCCTTCTATGATGAGGTGACTGGCTCTGTGGATGCGGGGAGAACAGTGGACATCAGCAAGGTTTCTGATACAGTCTTCCACAACATTCTTGCAAGCAAGATAAGGAAATACAGGTTGGATGAATTGACTGTAAAGTAAATAAAAAATGCCTGGAACATCAGATTCAAAAGGTAGTAATGGCTTTGTCTAGTTGGAAGCTGGTACCAAATGTTGAATGCCCCAGGAGTCAGTCCAGCAGCCAGTTGTGTTAAGTATCTTCATCAGTGACTTGGAAAATGGGATGAAGTGCACCCTCAGCAAGTTTGCAGATGACACCAAACGGGAGCGGGGGAGAGTAATAGATGCACTGGAGGGTAGAGCTAGCATTCTGAGAGAGCTTGACAAAATGGAGAATTGGACCAAAAGGAATCTCCTGAGATTTCAGTGAAGACAAGTGCAAAGTCTTCCACTTGGGATGGAACAATCCTGTGCACTGGTACAGGCTGGGGGCTGACTGGCTGGGCAGCAGCTCTGCAGAAAAGGACCTGGGGGTTACAGTGGACAATAAGCTGAATATGAGCCAGCAGTGTGACCCTTGTGAAGAAGGCTAACGGCATACTGGGCTGCATTAGTTGCCAACAGATTGAGGGAAGTGGTTCTTCCCCTCTGTTTTGGCAATGGTGAGGCCACTGCACCTGGAGTACTGTGTCTAGTTTTGGGCTCCCCACCATAGAAAGGATGTGAACAAATTGGAGAGAGTCCAGCAGAGGGCAACATAAATGGTTTGGGGGCTGGGGCATGTCACTTATGAGGAGAGACTGAGGGAACTGGGCTTATTTAGTCTGGAGAAGAGAACACAG